TATTTTTTTTTTGACAAGTGTCTCGGACAGCACAACGACTGTATAAATAAGACAATTTTTGTGCCACCATAGTTTATGTATGCAATTTTTTTTTTTATAAACCGTCGGAGTTAAATCTTTTGTTCATAATTTTTTTGGTATCCAAAGGCAGTTTTTGGATATTCCGATTTAAAAAATAATCCTATGTACCAAAAAGAGTTTGAACCCGGGGCACAAGAAAACCAATCCTCTTATATTACCACTAGACCACCACACATTTGGTTTATGTATCCAACTTGTTAGAATATTAACAAACCATCATGTTAATGCACAAATTTCAACATTATCTTCTCACTCTTCAAATTCATGAAAATATTAGACATATACGAACAAGAAAAAACTTGTATAATATTTGTTATTTTATAATAACATGAAATTCAAGAATTATGCATCATGTTTTTAACAGTCTCAAAATTTTGGACGTACCTTTTTCATAATCTTTATGAATTTTTTTTAGTGTTAATGCACAAACTTGCAACATTTTCTTCTGACTATATCTCAATTTATGAAAATATTATAGACATACGAACAAGAATAATTATAGGCATGCATCATGTACAGTCTCAAAGTTTTGGACGTACCTTTTTCATAGAATTTATAATACAGTAATCAGTTTTAATTATATTAATTCCCGAGGAGAAAAAAAAATCATCCAAATGTTCAAATCGTTAAAAATGATGTTTTCAAAATAATACTACATGTAAGCACAAAAAAATCCATTTAAAAGTTAAAACAAAACAAAAAAAACCATTTATCTATTTAAAGCATGAGAATACAAAGTTTTACAGAGCCATCTAGGCCCAATACACATAATAAAAACACCAAATTTTGAAACACTTAAGTTGAAGCCCAATCATAAAGGCCCATGAAGAATTGTCGAAACCCCAATTTTGAGAAGATTTTATCGGTCTTTCGAAGACACGAGAGGAATCCCAGTCTCTGACTCTGGAAGCTGTATCGTCTTGAAATTCCCAGTTTCTCTGACTCTGGAATCCAAATTGAGTTTCATGATCGCCGCCGAGGAAACTTCAAACCTCTGTCTGACCAATGTGTCTCTGTTTCTAAATTTTTT